TTGAAGCGAAACTGTGCAAAGTCAACGAGTCGAAATTTTTTTTCTAACTAGATCGATACAGGCGCCGTGAATTACGCGCGAATTAGCTTCAATGTCCTGTCTTTACCAAGTCGAGCAATGCTATGAGTTCGCGCCGCAAACGTCATACCTGCCTGATGGACACCTGGCAACGCGATGTCTGATTATGACGTTCCATTCCACTGCGAAAGTGAAAACTCACTCGAGCCCGTCTCTCGCCGCGTCGATGTTCGTAATTGGCGGAGAAAGTGCAGCATATTTGGAATACCGTTGACAATTGGAATACAATAATTTGCACCGGGTATATCTAAAAAAAAAAAAAAAAAAAAAAAAAAACCCCATAGACAGGAGGAGAAACAACGACAATTGTTAAATAATGACGTTTACAAGCGAACGGAAATTTTCGACACTTTCGACTTAACTCCTGCCAGAGAAGTTTAACTTTTGCAATATGCAAAATCGTCGTAATCCACGGCTGAAACGTTAATAGAAAATTTTCGAGTTAATCACGCTGAATGCGGAACGGATTTTTAGCTTTCAGCGGAGAGAACAACGGTTGCGCGTGTGTAAACGGTGAAATAATAAAAGGACAAAACCGCCACGCCGCGGCGATGTTAAACTGTTCAGAATGCAAACGAGGGATTTTATACGTGACCGTGGAAACGGGGACGCGGAACAATTTTGGCGAGTGACGTTGATCAGAATTAAATTGAAAAATGAATGAATAGATTCTATCGGCGGCGAAACTAGGCGATGTATACCCGACAAAAACGTATAAATATAAAGCAATAAAGCGAACGATCTGTAAAGTTTCGGAATGGGATCGCGAGTAATTTATTAAATTAACGCAGCAAAAAGAGGGAGGGAGGGGAGCCTGATGAGATTTTTTTCGAATCGGCGAAGAAGCCCGGCTGAATTGAAAAGCGATCGATAACGCCGAGCTTTGTTTAAATAAACGTGCGATGAATCGAACAGTTCGATCGATTTTGTAATGTTGGCGCGATGAACTGTTTGGGCGTTCGTGCGCATAGTAAAAAAAAAAGAAGAAAAAAAACGAAGAACAGGCGAGCGCCACCCGAATGATTCGCGGGTCTGTACGAAGCGGCCGTTTTTCCACGGAAGATACAATCGACCGTGCCATTCCTGTCGTCAGCTGTCCACGCTCCCACGGAATAACTTGGCTCATTCATATTTCTTAAACAGGTGCGCCTCGCGTACTCGCGAATTACGATGGATTTACGAAAACTTTCTTTGCTCGATAGAGCTGTGCAGCTAACTTTAGACGTTCCGCTTGTGATTGACGTTTCGTTTGACAGTGTTTTCGACGTAACCCTGGACGAAACTCGTTTGGACGATTATGCAGGATGTCGTATCATTTTTTTCATTTAATGATTCTTCGAGGGAATTGAGTTTAGAAATTTGTCGAGCGCATTTGAATTTTTACGCTGTTGGGAAAAATGGACTTTGCCTTGTTTAAGTAATTTTAAGCGTGTCCGGCCGATGAAGGATTAAAATATGTATTTTTAGATTCTACGTTCGAAAATTCTTGTAAATTTCAGAGTAAATTTAACAGAGGATTTGCAATAAGTTGTGGAAAATTAACAGTAGCAAAACTCCTTGATAGAATTGTACTAAGTGTCCAGTGATATATATATAGCAGTTAGCAGTATTAGTATTAATATATATATATATATATATATATATATATATATATATATTTTTTTTTTTGTTAGTAGTATTGTACTAATACCAGTAAAATTAATTTTTTTTCTCCGGTTACGGCATGAAAACTAAAACGTCTAGATTCTTATGGAAATGGCCCCGACAAATTGGAAACGTCACGTTCACGCAGCGTGAACCCCAGGATCGCGCGATCGAAAATTTGAAGGAACGAGAGTGCCTTTCAAATAAATAAAACCATCGGGAGAAGAAAACTCGATTGTCAAAGTTTGGCGAATTTATTGGCGTTTCGTGAAATGGCATGCGCGATGACAGATGCAATTCGGCGTTTCCAATGCCGAGAGAGCTCCGGCGACTCGTTTCGAGCGAAACATCGGAAGAAAACAGGGGATGAGAGGGGGAAGGGAGAAACTTCAAAAGGGAAACTTCGCCGCAAGAGAAGGAAAATGAGCCGGCAGTTTGAACAGAGAGAGTAATGGATCGTGCTGAAAATTTTGAATACTTTCGACGATGGGTGAAATTTTTATGCCAGGTGTACCCTATATGTATATAGATATCATGTAGAAAGATATTCGAGGGGAAACGATCCTCGAGGTCCTTCGTGAGCTTTCGTTCGATAAACTCGACCCTTCGTTTCCGATCAATCTGTGAATGAACACCGAAGCGTGTAAATTTCGAAGATGGAGAATTTTTTATATTTCACCGAATGTCCGTCGAATTATATTAATATTTTATAATATTCATGATTATGATGTTATTATAGTAAATGTAATTAAGGCCGCGGATCGAGAAAGGTAATAAAATTATAAACAGACTGCGGATCACGTTTTCGACAGCACGATGAAAGAAAAGTAAAACTTTCGAAAGAAAAGTTGGAAAAGTTGTTCCGTTGTGGATAAATATTTTAGATATTTTACACATTTCTCCGCGCCATTCCTGCACTTCAAAAATTCCTACAAGTACGTCGAAGAAAATAAATACCACAATTGTACAAGTGCATTGTCAATTAAATTACCAGGTAACTTTCATCGAGCAAGCATCTGCAATAATTATTCAACCAGTTTCGTTCACTTTTCGAAATAAATTGTCAAACAAAAAAAAAAAAAAAAAAAAAAAAAAAAAAAAGAAACGATCCGAAAGGGAAACGTAGATTGGTTCGTGCGAGATGGGGAGAAAAACAAAAGAGAGGAAAGGAGAGAAAAGAAGCAGGACGAAAAAATGAGAAAGGGATGTTGTTGGTTTATCGATGTAGTGGAGCCCCGAGTGTGCTATTCATCAAGACACAGGGGTGACCGGGACAAAAGCAGGAATCAGTGAAAGCCTGGACCTGCTAAAGCACGGACGATAAGCATGGATTCCCGCGGTTGTAACGTATTTGTGCCGGCACGCATTAGTGGCCGGCGGTTTCCACGTAATTACGGCCAGTTTGCAACGCGAAAGCCGCATATGTAGGCCGCTGCATTATTAAAAAGAGAAACGTGTACGCTAATTGGCAAACGACGAAGGCGTCGCTTTCGTTACCTGCGCTTTGCAAACCCACCAGACCCTGAGCAATTCATCGTCCAGGAGCTTTGGATGTACCGGTGTTGGCTAGGCCAAGGAAAGATGCTCGAATTGTTTGGCAAATGCCGAGGAAGCTAAGGCAAAGCCAGCTCCTGGCAAACGCGAGAGGGTTCGATAGCTTTGTTTGATCTTCCATCCAGGGGAAACCAAAAGCTGTTTGTTAAATATTGATTCGAGTTTTCACTTGGATTTTGATATCGTAGAATTGTACAATTGTGCAATGTTACACACGTGTTTTTTTTTTTTTTTTTTTTTTTTTTTTTGATACAATCTGTAGACGGATGATTTTTACAATTTTTACTGGTGAACGAACGTGTTGGCTTATAAAACGCGTTGTACGAAATATTATTTAACATTTCCAGTTTTGAGACAAACGTACTGCTTGCCCCAGGACTTTGAAGGGATTTACATAGTTGAAATATATTAGAATTATTGGAAATTGCATTGAGACCTGAATTCGTTTAATACACGTGATCTTTTATCCTGCTGTTACCACGAATTATAGCGAGTCGTAGTTTGACAAGATTCTGTCAAGTTGCGCCATACGGTTTGCGTATAACTTTAGAGTTTTTTCAATTCGAGTGGCTTTGATTAGAAATGCTTTTTGATATGACTGAGCGAAAGAATATCGAGTGACACAGCAATGTGATTGACAAGTGGGAGTAAGATAGCGTAAGGGGAAACGGTCCGTCTGTCGTCAGACAGCTGCTACATTCCCTCACAAGTCTGACACGCATCAGTTATTTAAAAATCTGTTCCGAGTTGATAGTTATTCGATCTGTTTGAAACTTTCTTGTGACCCCTTTTGTATTTTATCAAAGATAAACTAATAACAAAATTATATTATATTATAAACCAAGTGATTAATACGGGGATTTATTTATAATATCTATCGGCTGTTGCAGCAAAATTTGTCAATATATTAACCTGGATGCTAAAAATTATGGAATTATATTATCGGCTAACTAATCGATACGGACATTATGTACAATGTCGTGCCATTATGAATAATGAAAAACAAAATTGACCTAACTCGAACTTAGCTTCATTCATAGTATTTGGCCCATTAGTTTATTTTACCTACACGGTCGTTTGGTCGTTATTTATAATGACCGAATGTTACAAACACTGTGAAAGTTTACGCAATTTTAAATTTCCAAAAACGTATAATAATGAATGTTTCACCACAGACATTTGCATATTTTTGCATACCGGTCTCTGTATTTTTTTCATTTTTAAGTCTTCATATAAATGCATGAAAATCCGCAGTCTGATAATTCATCAGTCACTTGTATACAAGATATAGAGAAGAAGAAACGTAGATTTATTAATCGTTGACGTATTAATCGACAATTATTCATTTTACAAATCTACAATATACTATCAATCATTTGGCATTTTGGCCCAGAAAATTGTAAAATTTAAAATTTTGAATCACGTTTTCCTTTCTGAACGAAACAAACGTCATACGTTGTTTCTGAAAAAAAAACAAGGATTTCATTTTTAAGTGTAATTAATTACAATCTAAATATAATGTCACGAATGAAACAGGTATTTAGTTATCTCATTCTCAAATTCTAACTGTGTTTCAAATTCTTGACTCTCTATGTATAGATAGAATATAGAGAAAGGTGAGACGTATAACAATCATTAATTGTCGTGTGTTGATTTATCAATCTAAGATATATATTGCAAGATAATGCCAACGATACTAATAAATTGAAATCGTTTTGTTACAGGTACGGTGACATGGTTCCGAAAACGATCGCGGGAAAAATCGTGGGGGGTGTATGCTCTCTCAGCGGTGTCCTTGTGATCGCTTTACCGGTGCCTGTTATCGTCAGTAATTTCAGCCGAATATATCACCAGAATCAACGGGCTGACAAGCGAAAGGCGCAAAGGGTGAGTGTGACGTTTCTTTTTCTTTTTCCTTTTTAACGCGTCCTCTTATCGGTGCATCCGATCTGCATACATATACGTATGTCGTCGTATTGAAAATGGCACGGCAATTCGTTATTCGGATCGTGAATCATCTATCTTTGCGCTGTTAATCTGTTATCGGTAACGCGTGCTATCGTGAACGCTCGGTCGAAATTTAATTCGGCCCTTAATTCCGGCCCGATCCCGCTGTAATTCAACGGATCGATGAATGCAGCGGGTCCGAAAGCGGATCCGATTAACATTAATTTACGTTTCATAGAAACGAGAGTTTTTCTCTCTTTCTCTCTCTTTTTCTTCGAGATTTTACTCAATTGCGATGAAAGTGAATTCAAGGAGATATTCTAGCGAGAACGAAAAATAGTTTTCGAACAGTGTTAGAGATCACTTTGTTAATCACGAAGAAACGAAGCAATTCGAAGTAATACATCTTTCTTTGGTTTTATTAACGTATTATTATTTATTTCATTATTTATTTTATTAATAATGTATTTGTTAGTGATAGAATAGGATTTATAGTAAGACATATTGTGTTAGAATACAATAGATATAAATTAGAGTGTCATGTTTAATCTAATTTATTCACGAATAAATATAATGTAATACAAAACTTAACAAAAGCACAGCGAACGAAAAAAATAAATCTATACAATTTGACAAGAGAGAGAGAGAGAGAGAGAGAGAGAGAGAGAAATTCATACAATTTTTATTTATGTTAAAATACGACGACGTAAGGGATCAATAACATGAAAATTCATAATTACTCTCTGTTGGCTAAATTGCAAAGATAAATGAATGAGATTTTCAAGTAACATTCTCTACACTGATAAATAAATAATCGAAGTTTTTCACTTTCATCGAAAGTGAGTGATCTCATAGTCGCAAAGTATCAAATCAGTCGCGTCTCCGAGTAGGCGACTCGTGTTTCGTAAAACGTTCCTCCACCATCCGTCGATTTCTTCATAAACGCCTGGCGTAATCCGTAAATAGTCTGTGTCACTATTCGCGCCACGGACTTGTTCACTTTATTCTGGTACACTGGATATCGATATTGTCGGATGTTGTCTTTGGACCTAGTTGCTCGGCCCCCAAGGCCACAGCGTGACAAACTTTCAAACAGACATCCAGGCTTTTCCACTCTGCACTTACTTCTAACCGATCGACGGTACACCGTCGATTTTGATGTTTTAAATCGCTTACTTTCGCATCGATGATATTCATACGTGATATTCGTTCAGAATTCATTCGTGGGAGGTAGGAAACGAAGCTGCCGAAACTTTTGGATTTAGTGTTTTTAGTATCTAAATTGCAAATGGGTTGGGTCGACCACCTGGTGGATTCAAGCTGTAGATCTGCACCTTCCGAAGCACCGGTGTGCTCTCCGCGAACAGACAGTACGATTAATTTTCCCATCGATCATTTTCTTCCTCTCTCGAGAAATTCCATCTCGGTCGGTCTGAGTTTCGCGGCTTTTACGTGTATTATATATAAGACATTTTGAAATTTCATTAGCAATGTAACGAGATACGTCGTTATTATGTCGGTTGAAAGATTTGAAATCTGTCTGGAAATTTATGTTTTCAAACAGTTGCAAGATATTTAATTAAAAAGAAGTTAATGCACAGTATGAATGACGATATGTAATCAATACTGTAATGAGAAATACCTATTGGTGAAATTTGAAGCTTGTTTGAAAATTCTGGAGTTGCGAATTATTTATTTAGCATGAGATAAGTACATGGGATGAATATTGAAGTCTGTTGATAAATTGCGTACTTATGAGAAATTTTAAAGAGAATACATATAATGTGAAAAAAATATATGAAATATCCAAACTACAGTGCTTTTTATAGTACGTAGGAGAGACTTTTGGAAGTTTCTTTTTTTCAAAGATACGAATTTCGCATTTATTCGTAAATTTAACGCATAACTAGTTTCAATACTTTCATGATATCTATTACTCAAATACTTAAATATTTTTTATATCTTATATATATATATTTTTTTAAATCTATCTCAATCTCATTACGGTGTTAATGAAATTTCAAACCAGTTTTATGCGATACAGTATTATTCGTAAAAAGGGTACGAACGATTCGACGATTGTGAAATGTGAAATGTGTTCGCGTCTAAATTCTACTACTCAAATACTTAAATATTTTTCATATCTTATATATATATATATTTAAATCTGTCTCAATCTCATTACGGTGTTAATGAAATTTCAAACCAGTTTTATGCGATACAGTATTATTCGTAAAAAGTGTTCGAACGATTCGACGATTGTGAAATGTGAAATGTGTTCGCGTCTAAGTTCGAAATGTCGAATGGTCTAGCGGTCGCTAAGCTTTCCCCCTCGTCGCAACCGCGTAATGACGAAACTTAATTCGACGTTACGTAACCCGTTCGAATTGGGGTATATCGTGCCGTGTGGTTATCTTACCGAGTGTCACCGGTGGTCAGGAATGCGACCAATCGATTAGAACGAGCCGAGTTCACGGATGGAGAAAATGGAGTAGGCGAGAGAGAGAGAGAGAGAGAGAGAGAGAGAGAGAGAGAGAGAGAGAGAGAGCATTTTGATGCTACGGGAAGACAGCTGTTGAAATTCCCGATTTCACTCGGACATTTTCAAGCCACTGAATTTCTATGAATCGTTCATGGGATAAGTGGAAAGATGGCGGATGTATGTGACGCGGTGTTCGATCTCGACTCGGCAACCTGTTTGTCGCGTCGAGATCAATCGGCTGCCGGCCGAGCCCTATTTCTCTGGCAAGCTGGTCTTGCTGGATTCTCCCAATGCTCGATTTAGCACTACGAACAGAAATAGTCTAGTCGTTGCATTGTCTAGCTTCTATTTTCACGCGGGACGAATGTGCTGAAGATTTTCACTGGACGTTGTACTACCGCAACGTTATTTACCGTAGTGTCGCGTTAACTGGCCGGAAATATTGCTTCGTTAAGTGACCGTAATTATCACCGCAAATTGTCGGAATCAACTTTGCGTCTTCGAGTTTAGCGGCGATATTGTGAAGTAAAAGTACGCGTTAAATATTCCTATATATCATTTGTGATCTAAGAAGAGAAGAGATTTTCCAGAAATATGTTGTAATGGTTGATAATATAAGGATTTATTCATTATATTTTTTATTACATATATTTATACATGATGTTTTTATTATTTAAATATATATAATATTTTTGTTATATATGTTTATTTTGTATTTATTTATTTGCGTGAAGATATGATTAGTTAGAAGGGATCTCGCAGCTCGACAGACTTACATTTTTAATTAATATACATAAACACGTGATTTTGATATAGTATCATAATTGTTTTCTGCCATTTCTTTTCCACAAAATATTTATAGAATAAATAAAGGATCTGACCTTTCTTCAGAAGGTGTCAGAGTTTCGCCTCTTTGTTTATACGCTCGTGCTCGAAAGTTTGGAAAGCTCGTTCTTTGCTTTTTAGAAGAAATGAATTCTTTTCGCACAGTTTTTAGAGAACTAAGAGTATTCTAACTGTCAGCGCTAGAATATCAAACATTCCCGAGTGCTGTGAGCCATGATTCAGATCCGTTCCCGATTTTTTTAGGGGAGCAATTCGAGAAATGCAATTCTGCATTTCTTTAAATGAAAATTTAACTTTCTAATGTTTTTTGGAAGCTTGTTCATCAAGTTAATCAAGTAAGACTTTTAGACTTCCTCCACGTCAAAAATTCACTTTTCGGATAATAAGAATTATGTGTCACAGGTGCGGGGCATCATGCTGCACAATTGCGATGCTGCTATCTCTAAATATAGTTACATTCACTGACGTATTATCGCGAAATCGTAAAACTTTCTCGTCTTTATTACCTCTATTTCAATCGCAGGAAACTCGAAAGCTAACAACGTTGTTTAGTCATGATCTAAAAAAAAAAAAAAAAAAAAAAACACGCACACACACACGCACACGCACATGCACAAACCCACCGTTGCTATCGAAATTATATTCCGACGAATCCGCGTGGCTATTTTTAATCGACCGCCGACATTTTATTAGCACGAACATCAAAGAACAGCGCTCGAGAGGCGCTCCGCTATCGCGGATGCTAATGACGGCTATGATTGCCCTTACTCATCCCCTCCCTTCCCCTCCCACCCCCCCACACGCTTCTTCAACGAGAGCTTGGTGCCTTTAATCGTCGAATTGGAAGCCACCGATTATCCACGATGCTTTCGTTTTAGCGACTCGGTAAACCGGTCAATTTGATCGAGCACCCATTAAGCCCTGAATACATTTTCCCTGCGAGCCGTCTACGATTTTAACGTTGTGCGCGCGGAAGCCCTCCGTCTATCTCCTTTCCCGGAGCGGTTACCTGCAATTGTTCTCGTTAAAGTTGAAGAGACCATCGAGCGTCTTGACACAAAAATCCCGGCTCGCCTCGCGGCCGTGCGCGCTCTCCTACGACAAATTGCTCTTGGAAATGTTAAACGGGCCCGGTCGATCGACGTCCCGTTATTTTTCTATCGCGTGTAGATACGTCGCTTACCGGCAGTTTCTCAACCGTGTGCGAGTTTCGCGTTGGTAGATTTTATTTTCGTATATACCCTGTTTCACGCGAACTTTATTCGATCCGTGTTTTAAATTTTTAACACTGGACCTGTCGAAATGACCAATGTATGATTTTTGTTAGAAATTATATTATAGAGGGGCCATTGGTTGGCAGATAGTTTTGAGTCGGAAGCGGTGGATCGGAACTACTCGAAGGCCGGGCTCGTAATTTCTTTTAAACGGACGAGATGAGAAATCTCACGAGGTGGACACTCGCGAGGCTCGAGGTTTCTAGCAGAAGTTTGGCTTGGCTGACGGCCAACCGGCCACCCTCAGTTCATTACCACGATCCCGTGTTCCGCGAGAGACAGAGGCAGCTGGCTGAATAAAGTGGCGGCCAGCTTGATAGCAATCGGGCAACTTCCGGCCATTCTACGGGGTTGATTGATGCCGATTGTTGCTC